CCCTCCAATGCGTATACATACACCACACACACGAACATTGATTAATTAATTAGCTAATTAATGAAAACAGATGGACAGACAGAAGTAGTTCTTTGGTTCTGCAACAGTTAACTAATAAATTTTAAATTTTTTATTAGTTAAAAACTATAATCGGGGATATACCTTAGTGAATAAAATGTTTGTCTACTAGGCAGAAAACCCTGTTCTCAACCCACACACCAGGTGTGGTAGCATGAGCTTGTAATCACAATACTCAGGGGAGACAAAGGCAGGAAGATTAAAAGTTCAAGGTAATTCTCTGGTACATGTCAGCTTCCAGGCCTAACCCGGGATGCATAAGATCCTGTCTCAAAACAAACAGTATCATAACATTGTAATAGTAAAAAGAAGCAAGCTCACAGAGTTTTGTACCTTGTTAAAATGAAAGCCAATGTGACTCTTTCAGACGGTGGATCTCAATAAAATCAACAGTTGGTGGCATTTTTCCATCTTCTTGCCAATTTTTAAAACTTTTTATTTATTTATGGCTTTCACATCACGCGTCTCAATCCCATCATCTCCCTGTTCCTTCTGTCACATACGTCCTCTGCCCTTGCAATTCCCCCATGCCACAAAATAAGACAGAAGAGAGAAGAAAAGAATGAAAAGAAAAATCTCATCATGGAAGCTGTAGTGTGACACAGTGTGAGTCACACAGAATACCCTTCAGTTCACACATCTTTACTTGCAAGTATTCATTGCAAGGAATTTACTGGTCTGGTTCAAAGATCCTGGATTCTGATATAGTACCAGTGCTGGGGCCTCACTGGGACTCCTCTTGGACATCCTGTTGTCCTGTGTAGTGAAGATCCTGCAGCTTAGGGTCAGCAGGACTGGCGCCTTCATGTTTTCCAGCAGATGATAGATGAGGTGGATGTTGGGATGTGCCAACTCGTAGCCCTGGTTCTGGGCCTGGGTAGTTGCAGTGTTGGTCAGCCCACCAGCTGTCCCCCATCCTCACCACCAGGGTGAGCTCTCCAGCATTGCCCCATTCTTGTTACATTTTATCATCAATTTCCAGCCACATGGAAACATTCTCATTGTCATCCAAAGGCTTATAACAAAATTGTTATTTAAAATCCCTTATTTAAAGCAGAGATGAAACTGTTAACCATTATTCATAATACCATTTTGAGCCAAATCCTGACTTTTTAATTACCAGTACTTAAAATATGTTTTATTTTATATAGCAGGAAACACTTGTTTTCTTCCTAAAACATTTTCATATTTTTGAGAATTTCATACATGATTATTGTATTTACATCATTTCAACTCCACTCTCCCCTCTCCAGTTCCTCCTAAGCCTCCTCATTTCTTCTCATTTTCATGGCCTCTTTTTTAATTGTCATAGATGATAGATAGATAGATAGATAGATAGATAGACAGACGATAGATAGTAGATAGTAGACAGATATAGATAGACAGACAGATCGATCGATCGATAGATGATGATGAAAGCTACGTAGATAAATGGATGCACAGATGCATAGAATCTACTGAGCCAATTTAGTAATCTGTATAATAGGAGGCTTGTCTTTGAAGAAGACTAATTTTTCCATGTTTTAGCAGTCATTAATTGCCTGTAGCTCTTCATCTATTACCCCCATCTATGTTGGTATGTTGATTGGCATTTGCATTGTGCAGGTCTTTAGAAAATACTTATTTTAGGTCTGGGCATGGTGGTACACACCTTTAATCCCACAGAAGCAGGGAGTTCAAGGTCAGTCTGGTCTACAAAGCTAGTTCCAGAACAGTCAAGGTCAGGGCTGTTACACAGAGAGAAATCCTGCCTGGAAAGACCCCGCTGAGAGAGAGAGAGAGAGAGAGAGAGAGAGAGAGAGAGAGAGAGAGAGAGAGAGAGAGAGAGAGAGAGAGAGAGAATATTCATTTCCTGTATGCCAATATCGACATTCTTTTCAAATACCAATGAAATTGCTTGCATGATGCTAATGTAAAATTTGAAGGTGATAAATTATTTGAGACAACCAACAAATCCTAGAGGAGGCAGTTAGAAGGGAAATTATTATGAATATAGATTAAACCTATAAATAGTGACTAATATCCTATTCATGAAACATTACATGTCTCATTTTTTTCTAATTTGTTTACTCCTTTTCCTAGCAGCAAAGAATACCAAATTTTGTTAACTTTCATACTCTAATTCAAAGGGAGGCAGCCTGGTTGACTTATATGTCAGCATTAGTGAGAACCTTACTAAAACTGTTTTGTTGTTAAGTGTAATTTAGAGCAAGAGAAAAGTTGGACACAATCTATTCTAGGTATACATTAATCCAACCAATGGATAAGGTATAACCTAATTAATTGTATTTTATTTTCTTTTTCATTAATTTTATTTCAATTAAAACAATTTTATTTTACATATAAATCCAGTTCCCTTTCCCTCCTGTCCTCCCATTCCCCTCACCAACTCCCAGCCCACCCCTCCTTCCACTCCTCAAGGAGAGTGAAGCCTCCCATGGGGGATCATCAAAGTCTGTCACATCATTTAGGACAGGACCTAGGTCCTCCCTGGTGTATCTAGGCTAAGAGGTTATCCCTCCATAGGGAATGAGCTCCCAAAGTTCGTATTATCTTTTCAATAAAGGAATTTGTTGAAATTGGCTTATGTGCTTGCCTAAAAATGAAACTTTTTTTCTCTATTAGATGGACAACTAAGCTATCAAAAATAAAACTCAGAAGGGAGCTATGATTCTGTCGCTTGAAAATTGAAATACAATCACTTTAAATGTTCTTAACTTTATACATACTTAATTAGAATTGTAGCTAGCCAAATTAATAATCTACTGTTGTAAGAGAAAAGGCTAATTAAGTTACAATTTTCCTAGAAATTAAGCAGCTATTGAAATAATCAACTACGTTTCAAGTTCTCTGTTCTTTGTTTCACTTTGAAGTGAAAAAGTTCATGTTCCTTTAGAAATAAAAGTGGTTTTAAATAATTGAAGTCATTACATTTATTTTTTAATCCAACAGTATTTACTTATTTTCCTTTCCCTTTTTCTGTTATTTTTCTTTTAACTTAATAAATGCATCCAAATTTATATCCTTAATTATACTTACAATTACATTCTAGAATAGGTTGGTTTTCCTTTAATAGCTTATCATAAAGCCTTTTCTTGTTCAAATGGGAAAACCAAGCTTGGAAAGATTTTGATGTCAGGTGATTCTGTTTGGTATATAATAAAGGAAACAGAATTCTAGGATCAGCCCAAATATTGTCACCACAAGTCAAGACACAAAAGGAGTCAAGACAAGCACTGAAAAATCAACTCTAAACCTGAAGCATAAATCAACTAAGAAGTAATTTAAAATACAAATTGGATTATAACAGTGTTTACAGCTGACTTTGAGGGCTGGGTAGTGGAGGCATAGATCTTTAATCCCAGCACTTGGGAGGCAGAAACAGGCAGATCTCTATGAGTTCGAGACCAGCCTGATATACAGAGTGAGTTCCAGGACAGCCAAGGCTACACAGAGAAACAAAAACAAAAAAACATTACTTTGAAAGGACGAAGAGAAAAGGTAAAGACACTTGGAATATCCACTGTTATATAGCCTCCCCATGGATGTGTCAGAGAAATAACAACTATATGGATCCCTTAGAAAATGTACTAATGTGTATAATAACAAAAATTTAGAGATAATTGAAATATAAATAAGCAAGTAAATTAAATTTTACTGTGAACTAAGCATAAGGAAGCAAATATCCATCATGTTCCCATAGCATTTTACCATCTCAAAATTACAAAAGAGTGAAGGGATAGAAAAAAATAAATATTATAGGCTTAGTTACTATCTGCTTTCTTTTGCTTTGTGGGCAATCATTTCATCAAAACTTGGTCTTTGGCAATGAAAGATGTTTCAATGTTAGGTATTGATTAGGTCATCTTTTTTCAATACTAAATCATACAGTGCAATTTTTCCAAATCAAAGGGGAAAATCATTAGTTACTTTAATGAATAGTGTGACGGACACCAGTAGGCTCCAGAGTCAAATTGCTTAGGTTAAAATCCTCTACTAAACATACATGAAAAATAATTAAAATTAGTCAGCTTTCAGCTTTCTCAGTTGTAAAATGGAATTAATAATTGCCCTACCACATTTGGCTATGAGAGCATTAAATGAATTTGTCACATAGGTAGTTAGTAAATGAATGTCCTGTACTAAGTCCTCATAGTGTGGTGGGTTAAATAAGAATACCCCCCACACCACATGCTCATATATTTGAATGTTTAGTCATCAGGGAAAGAATGGCACTATTTGAGAAAGATTAGAACAATTAGGAGGTGTGGCCTTGTTGGGGTAGGTGTGGCTTTGTTGGCAGAATTGTGTCACTAGGAGTGGGCTTTGAGGTTTCAAAAGCCCATGCTAGGCCCAGATTTTTTTATTTTTCAGAACAAGATGTAGCTCTCAACTACTGTTCCAACACCTGCCTGTGTGCCTTCATGCTGCCAGTCATGATAGTAATAGACTAGACATCTGAAACTGTAAGCCAGCCCCAATTAAATGCTTTCTATTATAAGAGGTGCCTTAGTCATGATGTCTCTTCACAGCAATAGAATACTAAGACAGTAAGCATGTAATTAATTAGAATTTTTATTTAGATGAAATATTGGTATATAGCTTTGTGAAATCCTTTTAAAAGGAATTCATTAATTAATAGTGTTCATCAAGTACTTGTACTCAAAATGAAAATATAAACCTTTAAAAGACAAACTGCAAATTATACAAATGTCTTCAGTAGCACTTGCTAAATTAATGTCCTCTTACAATGCAGACAGAAACATTCAAAACATTCTTTCCCACAGTGATAACTCCTAATCCACCTGGCTGACATCAGATGATTATAATTCATATATGTGTGTTTAAGGATACATATACACTTGCATTTGTCTTCTAGAACTTACCTGTCTCATTGTTCTTTGTTTATCATACAGATTACACCGAACCCAGCCCCTAACATGGAAGAAGCCAGAAGCCAAAGCATAGAGGAAGACTTTGAAGGACAGGCCACACACACAGGTAACCAAAGTGCAGAGAAAGCATAATTATTAAAGTACGATTCATTGCCGGGCAGTGGTGGAACACGCCTTTAACCCCAGCATTCGGGAGCCAGAGGCAGGCAGATTGCTGTGAGTTCGAGGCCGGGCTGGACCGACAGCCTCCAAAACAATACAGAGGAACCCTGTCTTGTAAAACCAAAACAAAATAAAAAGTAAGATTAATTATAGAAATATCTGTTGTTATTGTGGAGAATATGATTGAATAGAAGTACTATCTTCAACTAGTCAGGAAGAATAATCCAAAACGTTTGACTAAATAAATTAGTTTAAAATGAAATGACAGTATTTTAGATAATAAAGAGGAAAATGTTTAAAACCTTTATTTCAGGACCCAAAGGAGTAATAAATGATTGGAGAAAGTTTAAATTAGAAAGTGAAGATGGTGACTCAATTCCACCCAGTAAGAAGGAGATCCTCAGACAAATGTCTTCCCCTCAGAGCAGAGACGACAAAGACTCAAAAGACAGAGTCAGCAGAAAGGTAAGGGGACAGAAGGCCTGTGATAAGTTATTAATGGTGTGTATTTCCTAGTCCAAGTCACTCAAGATAACCACTTCAGAATATTGTGAAATGTTTTCATTGTGGTACAGAGTGAACACTGTCATGAGGTAGTCTATACTAAGAAATATGTGGGAATCAGAGAACGAGTTTAAAAATATATGAGCTATCATAGATGAAGGTTTGCAATATGAGAAAACAAAACATAGAATTTTAAACTATGTGAACAATTCCATTTCTAGGGCAAGAAAGACACCACTGTGTGCTTTCACTCTTGCATGATTGTAAGCACGTGAATTTGTGTGCAGAGAAGTAGAGAGACTCTCTCGGTAGAGGATGGTCATAGGTTAAAAGAATGAGATTGCCTTGGAGAAGAAGGAAGGAGATAAACAGAAGTTTAACCATTTTAAGACAGCAATGCAAGAGTCTAGTTCTGCATGTGTATGTCTGTGTCATACAGAGTTAAAAATGACCTCTAAAATGTCAATGGAGATTATCTGAATATTAAATGGGTAGAATATCAGTATTTTTACTTCTTTTTAAGAAAACTTTAGGCCACTTCAAAATCTTTATAAATAGCATGTATTACTTATATAACAAGTTTAATGGTAATAATAAGGAAGTCATAAAGAGATTTTCATTTGTGGTGAAATCACTCTAGTAGGATATTTATCTCCGAATAGGTTTATATTGACAGTATGCTGAGCTAAGAGACTGAACAGAATATGCCTTGGCCCATGGCTTCAGACCATGACAATGATCTTTAGTCTAACACTGTGAGGGGAAAAAGATAGAAGTTGGTTTTCTCTCAAGATCATTATGCGATGTGGATGAGACAATCACATTTTCAAAACTGAGGAAGGAAGTTTAAGAATGTACTCATTTGTTTTAAGCAGATTGTGAAAACAAAAAATGTTTTAAAACAAATGACTATCAAATATGAGATGTTATTATTAAAGATTTTGTTCTGTTTAAACTTCAGAAATGTGCTTGTATGCCTAAATATCTGTCTCGATGTATGAACAGAACAACTTCATGTATATGAATGCTCAAATATATCAGTATCCCTGAGACTTGGTTGCTTGAACTAGCAGAACTATGACGGCAACTTAAGGATTATACAAAACATTTAATAATTTTAGGACTAAAATAAATTAAATCAAGACAATAATACTGACACAGAAAAACAATTATAATAGGAGATTTGGCTGTGGTGGCATATGTCTATAATACCAGCCCCTGGAGGTTGAGGTAGGAGGACCTTGAGTTCCAGGCTAGCCTGGGCTACAGAACAAGACCATATCAAAAGAAAGAGAGGAGAGAGGGTAAGGAAGGGGGGTTTCAATTGTGAGGGAGAAAGAATTAGGGATATTAGCAAAACAAACACAAAATGCAGAAACAAGTAATAAAAAATGGACGGCAGCTGCAGTTCAAGGGTTACACGGTGAAGATGATGCTGCAGATGACAATCCCTCTGAGACTCCCCAGCTTGCAGCTTCCAAGTTTCTAGGCTGCTCCATGCCTTTCAGGAGCTGTATGACAATAGGCTGCATCACTTCTTTGTGTCTATTTTTTTCTTGGTTGAGGGGAAGTGGTGATTAATTGTATATCAAATATATTAATAATGGAGTCTCCACTATGAACGGGTATTAAGACAATTTGATGTTCTAATCACAAGAAAATGTAGCTGTTTTGGATGATATATGGTTCTCTTACTTTTGACTAAGCCAGTGGTTAAGAATAACCTAGAGGGCTTGTTAAAACACAGACAACTCAGCCTCACCCTTACAGGTTCTGATTCAGCAGATCTGAGCAGTGCCCATAATCGGAAAAAATAATTGCCGACATTGAACCCATTAATTAGAAGCCTGATATTAGTTAATCAAAATGTAGTACAACCCCCAACAGTACTTGTTGGTACAAAATTAAAAGCAGGATAGAGAAAGAGGAGAGGAGAGCAAGGGTCCTTTTTAAATTGATCAACCAAGTAACAAATCAAAGTGCCCTTTTAGCCTATGCTTAAATGAGAAGGCTATAAGCAGGGAAGAAGTGGCCTAGTAGAGAGGATATCAAGTCAAAACTCCTGGGCTTGAGAATATGTTTGGTGCATCCAAGGATGAAGCATTTCTGATTGAATCATCTCTATTTTTTCTTTCATGCCTTCTCAGATGAGCATTCAAGAATATGAACTAATTCATCAAGACAAAGAAGATGAAAATTGCCTTCGTAAATACCGTAGACAGTGCATGCAGGATATGCATCAGAAGTTGAGTTTTGGGCCTAGATACGGGTTTGTGTATGAGCTGGAAACAGGGGAGCAATTCCTGGAGACCATTGAAAAGGAGCAGAAGGTCACCACAATCGTGGTGAACATTTATGAAGATGGTGTCAAGGGCTGTGACGCGCTCAACAGCAGTTTAGCATGCCTTGCAGTGGAGTACCCAATGGTCAAGTTCTGTAAGATAAAAGCTTCTAATACTGGTGCTGGGGACCGCTTTTCCTCAGATGTACTCCCTACCCTGCTTGTATACAAAGGTGGGGAACTCATAAGCAATTTTATTAGTGTTGCTGAGCAGTTTGCTGAAGAATTTTTTGCTGGAGATGTGGAGTCTTTCCTAAATGAATATGGATTACTACCAGAAAGAGAGATCCATGACCTAGAGCAGACCAACATGGAGGATGAAGATGTTGAATAAATATTCATTATCTCAGTATCTCATATATGTCCTTTACACAGTGAACATGGATTTTTGGTAGTATCTCTATTCCTTTAGCAAACTCTAAATATAGCTATGGTTATTCAAATGGGTGGGGGTAGGGGGAGACACTAAAATTATGTTAGTAGCATGTTTTAGTATTAGTTACTCAAGTTGACATAATACTTTGCTGTAGAAATGTTGTAGACAGCGGAGGTGGATAATGTCAATGTTATGTCCCTTTCAAGTTACGTGGTAGCTTTTTTTACTCCTTACCCTTGGCATTTTTATTTGGGCTTTTGAAACTGAATAGTACTTATGAACTGTCTTGTATTGTAAGAATAAAATCCTATGATGAAACAAATATTCTAATATAAAGTCTACTTTGAGTCCAGTATTATATTCTCATGTACCTAGAAACTTCATAAAGCTCAAAATACAAATACTGTTTCATTTATTTGTCTCTAATAACCACAAATCTACATGTGAAAAGTATTGCTTCCATTTTTAAAACAATGCAACATGGTGCAAAGAAGTAGAATTTTAACTTTCACTTCTCTTGAAGACATCTTGACAAAAAAAAAAGCCAGACAGTGGTGAGGGCATTTGATCCCAGCAGAGGAGGCAGAGGCAGGTGAATCTCCATGAGTTCAAGGACACCCTGTTCTACAGAGTGAGTTCCAGGACAGCCAGGGTTAAACAGAGAAACCTTGTCTCAAACCCTCTCCTAAGAACAAAGACAGAAAAGAAAGAAGACTTTTGGAAGTTTGTCCTCCCACACACAGACATGGAAGTACACAATAAAATCCAACATTAAAAGTATAAATCCATAAGTCAACTGAAGCGGAAGGTGAACAGTATCTAAACCAGAGGGTAAGTGAGGGTTGAAGCAACATGACAAACGATGGAGGAAATGGTACTTGGTACCTGTCCAGAAACGAGTTCTTTGTGAGATGTGTGTTCAGAGCAGGCTGACACAGTTCTCCCTGGAAGCCCATGAGTGAAGCACACAGGTGTTTGAAGCTCTGGTCTCTAGTCTTTTAAGTAACTAGCTTATAGCTTTTCTTTTTCCCGTGACCTTTTTCCACACACCCTCAACTGTAAAAACTTCATCTTGTTCATTCCTCACTGAGAAAACAGATGTTATCTGACGAGAACTTCCACATCTCTCTACCTCCAGAACTGAAAACTACACCTAAACTGCGTCTACTGACATAACAGAAGAGCTCACACAGGTGTCTCCAGTCAACGGATGTAGCAGTGCAGAACCTCCACACATTCCCAAAGGCATGGAAGTTCCTTCTGGGCTTACTTCCCTCTCCTCTGCATTATTTGCCCCCTTTCTCTAATTTTGGCTTTGAAGTGTTTTTAAATCACCCACTATTCAAAGTATGTCCACCTACAATTTAAGGTTTTAACCTGCCACTCAAATCTCTGATTTTCCTTAAAATCACGACTCTCAAAGAAGGTATCTAAAAACTACCTACAATCTGTTTCCCACTTCATTTTTATACCATTCTGGTGGCAGTTGGCACCAGCAATTTCAGTAAAGTTGAAACATCTTATCAAACTTACTGGCTAATTTTTTTTAAATTTTAAATAGCTTGTTTTACATGTCAATCCCAGTTCCCTCTCCCTCCCCTCCTCCCGCACTCCCCTTCCCCCCCACCCTCCCACCCTATTGCCAAATCCTTCCACATAGGGGATATCAGAGTCTGTCATTTTACTCTGGGTAGGGTCCAGGCACTCCCCTAAGAGTCCAGGCTGAGAGAGCATCCCTCTTTGTGCTATAGGCACACGAAGACTGTTTGTATACCAGGGATAGACACTGATCCACTGCTCAGGGCCCCATAGGTTGCCCAGGCCTTCTCGCTGACACTCACATTCGGGGGGTCCAGATCAGTCCCATGCTGGCCTCCCCACTGTCAGTCTGGGGTCCAAGAGCTCTCCCCTGTTCAGATCAGCTGTCTCTGCTGGTTTTGCCAGCCCATTCTTTGCCAATTTGCTCATCACTCCTCTCTCTCTGTCACTGGGTTCCTTGGGTTCAGTTCAGTGATTGTGTGTTTGCCTCTGCTTCCATCAGTCACAGGATGAAGGCTCCTGGATGGTTATAGACATCAAGTTCATTATCAGGAATGGGCATTCGAGGTGGTCTCTCCACTATTGCTTAGCTTGCCAATTGGTGTTATCCCTTTAGATCACTCGAGGTCGCTCTGGTGCCTGATCTGTATTCGATCCTATGATTCCCTCTTCCCCCTATTCTACCCCCACCCCCTCAACTTCCTGTTCCCCCATGACCAACTCTCTTCCTCTTCACCCCTCTCTTCTTCCCAGGTCCCACTCCCCCCACCCCTCGCCGTGTTCCCCATCCATTCAGGGGATCTTGTCTCCATCCTCTTCTCTTGGGTACTATGCATATATGCATATCTTTTAGGTTCTTTCCTGTTTCCCAGACTCTCTATCAGTGGTAGTGCAAACTGGCACTATCCTGATCCATGTCTAAAATCCATATATGAGTGAGTACATACCATGTTTGTCTTTTTGCGACTGGGTTACCTCACTCAGGATGGTTTCTTCCAGTGCTATCCATTTCTCTGCGAATTTCAAGATTCCATTGTTTTTTTCTGCTGAGTAATACTCCATTGTGTAAATGTACCACATTTTCTCTATCCACTCTTCAGTTGAGGGGCATCTAGGTTGCTTCCAGGTTCTGGCTATTACAAATAATGCTGCTATGAACATAGTGGAGCAGATGCCCTTGTTGTATGAACTTGCCTCATTTGGATATATGCCTAAGAGTGGAATTGCTGGGTCTAGTGGTAGATTAATTCCCATTTTCCTGAGGAATCTCCATACTGATTTCCAAAGAGGCTGTATGAGTCAGCACTCCCACCAGCAGTGGAGGAGTGTTCCTCTCTCTCCACGTCCTCTCCAGCATAAATTGTCTTCGGTGTTTTTGATTTTAGCCATTCTGACAGGAGTAAGATGGTATCTCAGAGTTGTTTTGATTTGCATTTCCCTGATGGCTAAGGATGTTGAGCACTTTCTTAAGTGTCTCTTGGCCATTTTAGCCTCCTCTACTGAGAATTCTCTATTTAGCTCTGTACCCCACCTTTTAATTGGATCCTTTGGTGTTTTGGAGACTTGTTTCTTGAGTTCTTTGTAAATTTTGGAGATTAGCCCTCTGTCAGATGTAGGGTTAGTGAATATCTTTTCCCATTCTGTGGCCTGCCTTTTTGTCTTTTTGACTGTGTCCTTTGCCTTACAGAAGCTTTTTAGTTTCAGAAGGTCCCATTTGTTAATTGTCGATCTCAGTGCCTGTGCCACTGGTGTTATGTTTAGGAAGTGGTCTCCTGTACCAACTCGTTGAAGAGTATCTCCCACTTTCTCTTCTAAAAGTTTCAGTGTGGCTGGATTTATGTTGAGATCTTTGATCCATTTGGACTTAAGTTTTGTACAAGGCGATAAACATGGATCTATCTGCAGTCTTCTGCATACCAGTACCCAGTTATGCCAGCACCATTTGTTGAAGATGCTTTCTTTTTTCCATTGTACAGTTTTAGCTTCTTTGTCAAAAATCAAGTGTTCATAGGTGTGTGGGTTAAAATTAGAGCTTTTGATTCGGTTCCATTGGTCTACCTGCCTATGTTTGTGCCAATACCAAGCTGTTTTCAGGACTATAGCTCTATAATAGAGCTTGAAGTCATGTATGGTGATGCCTCCTGAAGTTCCTTTATTGTATAGGGATGTTTTAGCTATCCTGGGCCTTTTGTTTTTCCATATAAAGTTGATTAATGTTCTTTCCAGGTCCTTGAAGAATTGTGATGGAATTTTGATAGGGATTGCATTGAATCTGTAGACTGTTTTTGGCACGATTGCCATTTTTATTATGTTGATCCTACTAATCCAAGAGCATGGGAGATCTTTCCATTTTCTGGTATCTTCTTTGATTTCTTTCTTTAAAGACACAAAGTTCTTGATATACAGGTCTTTAATTTCCTTGGTTAACATTATCCCCAGATATTTGATGCTGTTTTTGGCTATTGTAAAGGGTGATGTTTCTCTGATTTCTTTCTCAGTCACTTGATCATCTGTATATAATAGGGCCACTGATTTTTTTTGAGTTTACCTTGTATCCTGCCACATTGCTGAAGGTGTTTATCAGCTCTAGGAGTAACCTTGTGGAGTTTTTTGGGTCACTTATGTAAACTATCATATCATCTTCAAATAGTGAAAGTTTTACTTCTTCTTTTCCTATTTGTATCCCCTTTATCTCCTTTTTTGTCTTATTGCTGTAGCTAGAACTTCAAGTACAATATTGAAGAGATATGGAGAGAGTGGACAGCCTTGTCTTGTTCCTGATTTTAGAGGAATTGCTTTGAGTTTCTCTCCATTTAGTTTGATGTTAGCTGTTGGTTTACTGTATATTGCTTTTATTATATTCAGGTACATTCCTGTTATCCCTGATCTCTCTAGGACCTTTATCATGAAGGGGTGCTGGATTTTGTCAAAAGCTTTTTCAGCATCTAGTGAGATGATCATGTGGTTTTTCTTTCGCAGATTGTTAATATGGTGGATTACATTGATAGATTTTCTAATGTTGAACCATCCCTGCATTCCTGGGATGAAGCCTACTTGATCATGGTGGATGATTTTTCTGATGTGTTCTTGAATCTGGTTTGCGAGTATTTTATTGAGTATTTTTGCATCAATGTTCATGAGGGAAATTGGTCTATAGTTCTCTTTCTTAGTTGTGTCTTTGTGTGGCTTGGGTATCAAGGTAATTGTAGCCTCGTAGAAAGAGTTTGGCAGTGAGCCTCCTGCTTCTATTGTGTGGAATACTTTGAGGAGTATTGGAATTAGCTCTTCTTTGAATTTCTGGTAGAATTCTGCACTGAAGCCATCTGGGCCTGGGCTTTTTTTATTTGGGAGACTTTTGATGACTGCTTCTATTTCATTAGGGGTTATAGGTCTGTTTAGATTGTTTATCTGTTCTTGATTTAGTTTTGGCAAGTGATATCTATCCAGGAAATTGTCCATTTCCTTTAAATTTTCAAATTTTGTGGAGTACAGATTTTCAACGTATGCCCTGATGATTCTCTGGATTTCTTCAGAGTCTATTGTTATGTCCTCTTTTTCATCCCTGATTTTGTTAATTAGCATGCTCTCCCTCTGTCTTTTGGTTAGTCAGATGGCTCAAAAGACAATAGTTTAAGAACAAGATGCAAACCCTGTTCAGTTAGTGGCCATTCTTAGCAGCAGGAGAAGCAGCTTTGCAGGCCAGAGGCATGAAAGAAAGGCTAGCAGCAAAAAGAAAGACCCATTTATGGAAAAACAATAAAAATGTCTGCTTTGAAACATCCCTATCCAAAGTAAGCTCTACTCCTAATAGAAACAAACTACCATGTTTTAATTTAAAATAAACAGCTAGCAAGCTTAAGCATGACCAAGCCCTGGAATGTATTTAACCCATCACTGTCAAAACAAAAGTAACTAGGTGGTACCAACTCAGAGACAATGAGTGATGATAGCAACCATTCTCAAAATAAGACTAGGTGACTAATGGGTGCCAGGGAGAAGCTTTGATCATATAATACTCATCAGGAGAGTCACACAAAAGACAGGATTCAACTAGAATACTTGAAGTCTGCTGTTGCAGAAATGCTGCATTACCAGTGCCCTCACGTGAACACTCCATCTGCTGTTCAATTCCATAGAATTGTTTCTTTTTTCTTTGAGAATTTCAACTCTGTATTTTGAACATATTCCCCCCTACCTTTCCACCTTAACTCCTCCCAGATCCATCCCAGACATCTTTTTGGCTCAGCAAAGAAAGAGTTTTAAATTAAATGGTTTAAAATGTTATCAAGTGTCACATAACTACTCAAATAATAACTGTAATAGACTTGAAAGATAACTTACTTGTCATCTAAGGACAGAAAAATTTGTAAGGAATAGCAAATTTGAATTGTAAGTTGAAAAGCTAATTTATTCATTTGTTCATAAAACATTACTGATACTTTGTAATGCCATGCTGGGTCCTTGACAGCAAGAAATATAGGTAAAGGAAACAAGAAACAGAAGATAACTGTTTATAGTGTTGTATCTCCATGTCTCTATTTTGATGGCGGTGACTCTATGGCACCCTACAAACTTCTTGGTCTGAATCCAGTCACTCATTTTGTGAATTTGAGCACACTAATTCATCTCTCTGCATCTTTTTAACATGTGTCAAACACAGATGGTGACAGCATTTCTTCACAGAGTTATTATGAGATAAAAATGAGTAAATCATATAAATTAGAGTACCTAATATACAAATATTACTCAAATATTACTTGTCATTATCAATAAATAATCAGCAAGTAAAATGATTCATATACTACACAGATTTAAAAGCATAGGATCATGCATATATATATACATATATATATGAGCTACTTCATGAATATGTCAGATGCAATGCATCTATATCAAACACACCATTCACATCCTTCTAGAAATGAACTTACTAAACAACTTATATACAACATTTAAGTCAAAAGCAAAAAGTCCTTTAAAAATTGCAGGGTAGTGAAAGGTAGGTAAGTGATTCCAACCGAATGGCCCAACCACTGTACACATTAGATTCTACAGCTCATCTTCCATGCATTGTAGCACACTGGACGCTGATGACCACTCTCAAACTGAAATTCTTGCTCTACCTGGTGTTCATGAACTATATATACTCTTTCAGTCTTATTGTGTGGCCTTTCTTCCTTGATAGTTCCTCCATTGTCTCTTTGAATTCTATTATTCATCCTAATGGCTGCTCCTATGTCACAGTTTCTGAAACTCACTACTATTGGTATTTTTATGGAGATTCACTGTATACACTAAAAGATGGTTAGTAGCACCCTTGACCTTTCCCAATTAGATGCTCGTAGCCTTCCTCTTCTAATTGCAACAACGACAACAGCAACAACAACAAACTCTTTAGACTTGTCAAGTGTTCTCAAGACGGAGACAAAACTCATCCCCAGCTAACATAGAAAACATATCTTCTGCCTCCTGCTTTCTTATATTGGGACATCTGTGAGACAAAGGAAAATAATTGTATTTGTGAGTTATTTTGAATTATATTCTGAAACATGTTGTAATATAAACATTTTCTATAACTTCTGGAAGTGAAGTATCTATGTATAATGTACCTTCCATTAGTGAAACAAGTAGTTCTTTTTTAAAAATGTAAACTCAACAGCAGCATTCTCTAGGTAATTTTTAAGAGCGTGATCTCTAACTAAGTTTCAAACCTGGAAAGAATATTAAAGACACATTTAGGGCTAGAGGAAGCAGAAAAATAACTTAGTGGGTTTTTACTCTCTTGCCAAGGAAGCCTTGTGAACCCAAGAGTCCACATGAACACTGTAGTATGCATACATAACTCCAGAACTCCTGTAGTGAGAAGACAGGTAGGGGAGAGAATTATTGGAGAGGTAGAGGTGGTCTCTTGTGGTCCAGCTAGTTTGAAATATACAACACAACTTCAGGATTAGCAGGGGAGAGCCTACCTCAACAAGATGAAGGAGAGCCAACTACCAAAAGTGGGTCTCTGACTTTCACATACATTCACGTGCTAAGGCATGCATACAAGCGCGTGCACACATACACATACACACACACACACACACACACACACACACATGAACTTACATGACTGCTAAATAAATAAATAATAAATACAAAAATTTAAATACAACAGTATTGCAGAGAGACACACAGGTTTTATGACAAGAGGGTATGGCGGCTTGTGCCTATAAGCCCAGAACTTGAGTAGCTAAGGTAGGAGGTACTTAAACAATAACTGAAATAGTGTTGGGTAGGAAGATCATGACTAGCCTGAGCTACATAGTGATACTGTGTTTTTATACAACAAAACAAACCCAAATTTTTTATTTTTATTATTTTCCGTTTAAATTTTGTTATTTTTATAGCACTGAACTTGAAAAAATGGCATAATCAAATTTTAAACATATATTAAAAATTTCTCTAGACATACAAATGCAAATAATCATTGTAGTTTTTAAGTTCTCTGCTATTTCAATAGCTCTTGTGTCTTTAAAGAAGAAAAACTTGAATTTAAGAATAGACACATTTGTCACAAGCAATTGTTTGCCCTGTTATGAAAATAAAACATTTTGTGAAAAGTAAAAATATTAAACTCCTGAAACATGACAGTTAACTACTATATAAATTCATGATTCCTACGAAAGTCATATGAAGGCAGTACCATCTGTACTGTGAAACAGTGGTTTCTTTGGAAGCCCCAGATAGCATAGTCAACTTTGCAGTATGTTACCATAGAAAGATGTTCCTGAATATACTATGGGATAATTCACCATAAACATACAAAAACTCATATCCTGCATTAGTTACTTTTTTACTGTCCTGAGAAAAACAGAAACTAAGACAGTTTATAGAAGAGTTTATTGGAGCTTACAGTTCCAAAGGGTTAAGAGTCCACGATGACAGAGCATAGGAATGATGGCTGGGGCTAGAAACTGAGTGTTGACATCTTGGTCTGAAAGCATGAAGTGGAGAAATTAAACTGGGTACAGAGGAGGCTTTGAAACCCAAGACCTGTTCCCAATGACATTCTTCAAAGTTCCATCAAGGCCACACCTCCTAAACCTACCTAAATAGCACCACCAGTTGGAGAGTACCTGTTCCAATATCCATATCTACAGAGGACATCCTCATACAAATCACTACGTATCCTAAGTTGAAAATGCACTGATTAGATCTAATGTAATAAGGCCCAAAGCTTAGAAACACAATATAGTGTAGAATGTTTTTGTTTAGCCCTGAGATTAAGTGGGTGAATGAAAGTACATCTGGCATTTCAAGAGAGTATGATTCTGCACAGTGCTAGCCAAGGCTGAAAAAAATTCAAAACTAAACTTTCAAAGCATGGTTTCTAGTGAATTTATGTCACTTCTGCACCATTGTAAGCCAAAATGTAAAACAAATGTCAATTTATTAGTAAGCAGGAAGACTACATAACTTCACATGTATCAATGGTATTTAAATACCAGCAAGAACATATGGGGTAGAATGTTGTTTATAATATATCCTGTTCAGGAATGAGGACATGGAAGAGTTAGATGTTAGTTTTCTTTCTCACAGCTGTATATCTAACAAGATACAAAGCTTAGTCTTAGTCTTGGGTCTATCAACCTTAGCTCCCCCGGTTTTTCCCCCATTAGGCAATGCTATTTACCTGAAAGTTACCAACACATAACGAACCAAACCCAGGTTTCTTTTTTTTTTTTTTTTTTTTTTTTTGGTTTTTCGAGACAGGGTTTCTTTGTATTGTTTTGGGGGCTGTCCTGGAACTCGCTCTGTAGACCAGGCTGGCCTCGAACTCACAGAGATCCGCCTGCCTCTGCCTCCCGAGTGCTGGGATTAAAGGCGTGCACCACCAACGCCCAGCAAACCCAGGTTTCTATAAGTTCTGTCTTAATATAGTTCAGGTCAATGAGTCAATTCTGTAGAAAAATAGAAGGAAGAGGAGTAGTAGGTGAATAAGAGAAAACAAAGTTACCTGGGATCAGGGAAAACTTCGGTCCAGAACTCTAATAACTAATGCAGTGGGTACAGTTCTGAAAGAGAAAACAGTGAAGAAAATGGTAACCTAACTTTTCAATTGTGTATTTTCATGATTCTAGCAACAGTATTAAGGAAACATCATTTTATGGATACTTGAGATTTGTAACTGTACAAACTGTTAAAATCGTATTTTCCTTTCAGGCTTTGTTTGGGTGTTTGTTCTGCCACAGTATGTTGGAAAATGCTCCAAAGTGAGTTTTTCATAAGATCAGGCATGTTTACTCAGGCTATGTTATTTCTCACAGAACCTATTCTTCAGCCTCAATTCTTGAACACATAGATGCTTAATTTCAAGCAAGTTACTTCAAAAATAATAACTGAATGGTTATTTATTCACCACTGACAACACATAGTTAGCTTTCCTACAAGGTTCCTGCTGTAACAAACTAGATTCACTTTTAGTAGCTAATGATAATCACAAGTGAAATTAAATATGTTACATGAATTATAGAGACTTACATAAACTGTGTGAATCCCCATAGAAGTTACAAAGAACAAGCTATGACTCTACAATGTGTTTCACTTTTATTAAATAACAATTACAGGTTTGGGAGAGATGGCTCACCAATTAAGTGCACTTGCTGCTACTACAAAGGCCTTGAGTTTGGTTTCCAGCACCCCTTGGTGACTCCCAATCATCCTTCATTCCATTTCCACTAATGGTACCCTTTTCTGGTCTCTGAAGGCACACACAGAGTGCACACACATGCATGTTTTCAAACAAACACATAAAAAATTTAAATCTTTTGTTAAATTATAATTGTGGATGTTGGGCTGCAGAGATAATTCAGCCATTAAATGCTCAACTTTTTTACAGGCTTTTAATTTAGTTCTTTGAATACACATAAAAAGACACACTCTCTCTAGCTTCCCTTAAAAGGGGCTGAAGAGTCACTGCTCAGTATTTAATTGAGTAATCTGTTCTTGCGTGGGATTTGAGTTCAGTTCCATATCACGTGTTCATACCTATAACTTCAGCTTCAAGGGATCCACATCCACTGGTACCTGGTCTCCTTGGGCACTCGCACTCACATACAGACATACACATTGCAGGTACCAATTTTATCAGTAAATTTTTCTTCAGTTTCTTTTTTTCCTCAAGTATTTCAAGAGGAAGGAGCTTTGTAAAGTTTTAATTTGTAATTGTGGGTGGTGGTGCTGATACAAAATCAGGGGAACTTTTAAACTCTATCTGGCCCTTCCAGAAGGAAGAACAATCCATTGTCATCTTTTGAAACCAGAGTTATTTTACTATTATGATCACTTGTAAAGTGAAGGCTTTAAGTAGAAATAATTCTAAACATAGTAACAGTGACAAAACATTAATATTTAAATTTACTACTTAAAAGACCCAAAATGTCTAATTAGACTTTATAAAAATTCCAGGTGCTTTAATTAAAAAGAAATTAACTTAATGCTTAATGACACAAAAAAGTAGAACATAAAATAAAGCAAAGTGTATATGAAGCAAATAATTTCCAAAAGTAATTATCACTACACTAACAACCTTAAAGAGGAAAAGTATTATTAAATATGGAAAAGATTATTGATAATGATTGTTATTAGAAATAATAATAAAATGGTGCATGAGACCTAGGAATACAACAATTTCATACGTGCATGTACTTAATGAGATGTCATAGAAATTACACAGTAAAATTAACTGAACTTTAACTCTTGACTCTTATACACTGTGTCTAGCTGGCTCTCCATTCTGCCACCATGCCTTCCCTCAAACTACATGCCATAACAGGTTCTTCCCTCCTTCAACTGCTTGTTGCTAGGTATTTTATCATAGTGATAGGAAAAGTAACAACTTCAGTGCTGCTAAGTGGAGCTGCTGCTGCAATAAGCACAACTACATGGCACTTGGGCTTTTGCAACTGGTTAGAAAGAGCAACGTGAAAGAGTTTGGAACTCTGGGTTAGAAAAGTCCTTGAATGCTGTAAGCAGGCATTCATTTTTGCTTGCTGTGATAAATACCACGATGAAAAGCAATTGGAAGAAAGGGGTTTACTTGGCTTACACTTCCAGATCACAATCCATTACTGAGGGATGTCATGGCAGGAGCTAGGCAGGAACTGACGCAGAAACCAAAGAGATAGTTTCCTGACCTGCTCCCTCTGGCTCTCACTCATCCAGCTTTCTTATGCAACTCTTACCCACTCGCTTGGACATGGTGCCACAATGGGCTGGGCCCTCCCACATCAGCCAACAATCAAGACATTTCAGGCCAATCTGATGGAGGCAATTTTTCATTTAATGGTTTATTTTTTCACGTGACTCTAGCTGTATCAACTAGACATTAGAAACAATCTAGTGCACAAAGCTTAATGAGCCATTCTGGGAGAAGTTTTGGAATACAGGAGACTAAAATAAATGTATTCTGTGGATACCTGGCTCTTGAGATTTCAGAGAGGAACAGAATTCTCCCAGGAACCCCGTAAGAGATCATCTAGGTTACATTGTAGCAAACAATCTAGCTGTATTCTTCCTGTGTGCTGGGAACTGGAGGGAGGCTGAATTTAATGAAGTTGTGTATTTAGTGAATGAAATTTTAAGGAAGGAGATCATCCAGGATATGGCATGGTTATTGATCACTATTCTTATCCAGGTGAAAAAGACCAGCAAGCATTGCAGAATGGGGTGGGTAGTTTTCTAAGAAAAGGACAGAAGCAAATTTCAAGTTACAGCTGAAAAGAAGCTGCAAGTTTTGAAGAGAACCTTCCCCCTCTACTGAGACATAGAAAAGGTGCTAGAGAACAGGAACCCATCCATCAAAGGCTCCAACTTGTAAAAATGCAAACACACTTGAATGAAGAGCGTTTAGCCTCAGAACACCAAAGGGGTTCCTTACTCTTAGAAAAAGACTGCCTAGGGAAGTGTTTCCCCAGGGTCAGCACACAAGAATGGCTGCAGTTGTGGTCCAAGTGGGAATGGTCTATTTTGAGTTGGCAACAGAACTTTAAAGTAGTGTTATCTGCGTGGTACTGGTTTTGTAAGCATGAAAAATGCTGTATGTACTCTACTTCTATGGTTCCAGAAAGCCTTATGAGGTCAAGCAACATGTGACAGGGTTAGAGAGTGAAGAGACCCCGAGAGTGAAGGTAAAGTGTAAGTTGGAAAGAAGGGCCCAGGATGTTTGACAGGTCAGACCAAAGAAAGCTGCACTTCTGGATGGAATAGAGAGCCAGGTCAAGAAAGAGTCATGCTGGAGGTAGGGAAGCAGGGGCTACCCAAGCCCTTTGGAGCCAAGAAGATTTTGTCAGTAGTGTGAAATGACAGACATGGAGCTAGATGATTTGCTATTTCCTCTGGATTTCTGTCTTGCTTTAGTTCAATCTTTTTCTCTGATCCCATTCTCATGTTTGGAACAGGAATACGTACATAGTTTTTCCTTCAATTTTATAAGGGTTCACAGTTAAGAGATTGATTTGGTCCTCAGAAGAGACATTAGGCATTTAAATAGTGTCGGGAATCTTACTCATTAAAGATTTGGAAAGTTGGGATGAATGCATTTCATATCATGAAATGGCCATGAACTAATGGGAGCTATGGGTTATGGTTTGAACGTGAAATGTGTCCCACATGCTCACATTTGAACACTTGGTCTCAGGCTGATGGTACTACTGGGGAAAGTTGTAGAACCCTTAGGAGGTAGACCATGTTGGAGGTATTTGTAGCTGGACTTTGTGACTTTATACTTGACCCATGTCCTGTTCATTCTGCTTTGTGAATGAAGATAAATGAGCCAGAAGACCTCCTCAAACTGTAAGCCAGAATAAATTCTTCCTCCCTTAAATTGCTTTTTGTAAGTTAATTTGTCACAGCAATGAAGAAAGTAGGATAGTTTATAAGACACAAATATAATAAACATGTAAAATACTCCTTGTTTCCTATAAAAATAATTAAATATAACAGAAATGGTAATTCATCAAATATTTTAGTACATTTTCTCAATATTTACTAGATAAAACAGCAAAAATTAGGCCCAGAATGCAGCCTACTCATGCATGCCATGTGTTCCATGCAAATGATAACTACATAATTAACAAGCTATCTATATATAACCTGCAACAAACAGTTCATGAAGTAAGCAATTCCCCCCACAACATGCAAGGAAAATTCTCAAAGGTATTAATATCAAATCCACAAACTCCCTTAAATAATTACTTTTATATAGAAATACAAAACTCTTAAAAAGATGCTTAGTAACAAAACAACAGAGATTTTAAAAAACTGTACTATTAGAAACATACGTTTCAAGGCATAGAGGAACAGATTAGTGGCAGAGCCCATCATCACAACAAACAAACAAATTACAAAATGAAAGGATAATATATTATCTGGATATCTAACCCAGAAGTTAAGAAATATGGTAAACTACAAGGTAGAATAATGAGAAAGTAAATAAGACTGGAAATCAATGGAATATAAATTCTGTTTATAAAGCTTCTATTTGTAAAGGTGGTTGTCAACACAGATACCCTCACTTAGCCAAGATGAAGAGAGTAAGATACTGCAAAATGCTCAGCCTTAAATATACTGCATCACCTCCACCAAAGACTCATGGATGCTTACAGACAAGGGAACAGAAAGAGTGTAAGATAAAACAATGTCTTAAGGACATAGCAGGGTCACTGCATATATGAATTTGTGGTTGCAACAGGATCCACAAAATCTGTGTAAACCCAAGACAGAGGAAATCCCAGCATGAAGATGGGGATTGGAGCAACTGGTAATTGTTACCTGCTAGAGACAGTTTTCTTTGGGAGCATAACTTCTGGTAAGTTATCATGTACGAGCGAGTAAAAGACCCTGTATCCAAGAATACTGGGGCAGCTCAAATTGGCCTTGATGTTTTTTTACAAAAAAGAATACAAAGTTTGGTGAGTACAGAAAGGATATAGATCTGTTAGGAGTTGGGGCAGTGTGGAGTGAGTATGAAACACATTGTACAAACTCTCAAAGAACTAATAAATTATTTTAAAGAAGAATCCCAAATATGAAAGGCTGTTTATTTAAAAAAAAAAAAGGATAGAGTATTAGAGTCACATGTTGAAGAAGCATAAGCAGACAAAAGGAATCTTTAAAAATAATATGTACAGAGCTAAGAAAAAAAGCACATGGATGGGTTGGAGAAATGGCTCAGCAGTCAAGAGCACTGGCTGTTCTTCCAGAAGACCTGGGTATGATTCACAGCTGTGGTCAGCATCTCACAAATGTCTGTAACTCCAGTTCCAGGCCCTCTTCTGGCCTCCACAGGCACTGCACACATGTGATGCACAAACATACATACGAGCAAAGCACCCACACATGAAGAAAAAATAACCTTAAAAACAAATATGAAAAACAAATTCCTGACAACATAACTAATAAGAATTTATTAAATTAAGAAAATTGAAAGTCTGATGGTCCTGTAAGTAGCAAAGAAATAAGAACAATTGTTACAAAAGCTTGGCAAATATCCATAGTGTCTAATTATATTTACAAGTTGATTCTATCAAGTTGATAAGACACAGATTATTTTATAGAGCTCCTCCTCGTCCTCCTCCTCCTCTTCTTCTCTTCCTCCTCTTCTTTCTTCTTGGCATTTTTGAGAATGGGTCTAACTGTGGCCCTGTATAGCCTAAGGCTTAAGCAGTTCAGACTGACCAGGAATTCACTATGTAGTTCAAGATGTTCTTCCTGCCTCCTCCTAAATGCTGAGATTACAAGCATTTGTCATTAACTGTGAAAATTAATAAAATGTTAATACCAAAACCAGATAGACAATGAGAGAACAGAAAATTAAAGAGCAATAATACTCAGTAGTGTAGATATAAACTAATTAAAATATCATAAAATCTAACAGTGTATGTAAAAGATAAAATATGAACAAGTTGGGTTTATCCCTGGAATGTGTTTAACTATCTGATATAACAGCTATAGGTTATGTTCCTAGTGTAGTCTTGGTGACACCTTTAGCTTAATATCATTATCTAGACCCTTTCCTACCTCTGAACTGTACCAACGCTTGCAGCATTGCAATGGCTGCTCACTTCAGCCAAGTGAGTCAGATCTTTTTACCATTAAGCCCAGAAGGCAACGTACTCAAAAACCAGAACAAAAACCCTGAAGCTAAATCTACCATGACTCTGAGCATTCACTCATTAATCGATATCTAAAATTAGCATGCACTAACTTCTGCTTACTTCCCATGCCTTCTTCATCATAATCCTCTCCTGTATCCCCATCCTTGCAGTCTATGCTTTCTCGATCTTTAAAATCAACACATTTCCCTTTATTCCTAACTACTTTCCCCCAAAACCTTTCTTTCCCTATTTGGT